ATTCCAAGATCTGCTTCCGAGCTTTTTGAACTCAAAAAGGTCATTCGAACTTCCTTCTCGCTGGGGGGAAGCCGCTGAAAAAAACAATTGCTTCTTTCTGCTGTCACTAGACCGGAATTTTCTGTACTTCTGCTGAGCAACTTGCTCCACAAATTCTCCAGAAAAGCAAACAAAACCATCCTGAAATCGTCTTAGAAATTAGCTGGCGATCTTTTTTCCAAAAACATTCGGTTTTTTTGATTTGCTTTTGTCTTCTAATCAATTCCTGTTGACGAGTATTACTCGCAAGAAAGTAAATGGCCGTTCAGGAAGCGGCCTCTGAAGTGGTGACAAACATATACAGAAGAGACTGTGTATTAACTGGAGCAGCGCAGGATCTAAAGCCTTGGCACAGTCGCCTTCGATGTGTGGGAACATTCCGGCAAAATCATTTAACATAGGATACCGTACTGATTTCCCGGGCCCTCTTGGTATTCTCGATATTAGATTTACTTTTATTTTTCTTGAAAAATTAGACTGAGACATATTTGGTCGACGATTTTAAGTCTGGCTTCTCCGATTGCTGAATTGGAAATGAGCAACAAAATGCGAACAACAATACACATACACACAGAGACAACACTCTTGCCAGTATGCGTTTTTGCATTTGCACATACGCGAAAACGCATAAAACTTATCAAGCGTGGATCATGCAGTGTATTCGGTCTTAGCCTATGGATTAGCATGGATTATGTTCTGAGTCCGGCTAAAACTCATGAATTATGTAGTGTATTCAGCGTTGTCTAACGTCTTTTTATGCAACAACTGAACCCCACAGATCAAAAAGCAAATACAAGTTTGTGCACTGAACACACTGAGGGTTGAGATGAATCCGAAATCTCGGCTGGAAAAGGAAATCACGTAAAGAAGCAAGACGTAGTCACCAACAATACAAACAAGAAAGCAATTTGTTTTTTGGATTTGAAGGTTTCTGAGTGAAATTCGTTGTGCGTCCATCATGTCTATTTTTATGCGTTTCGTGCTGTGTAACAGCGGTACAAAACGCATATTGTCACGGGGTTGTCTGTATGTGTGTTTGTGTGTGTGTGTCCGTAGCAACTTGTCCGCAACTTTCAACTCGGGAACCACAAAAGCTAGGGAACGTTCCCCACCCATGTGTGATCCCGCAAATTTAAATTCAGCTTCCCCATACCCGCGGGTAACATGTATGGCCCCGTGAAAGTTTTTTACGGGTAAGTTAATATCTCGGGAATCACGGAGTCTAGGAGGCTGAAATTTTAGGGTAATGACCCGCTGCCCACTCTCAACCTTGCCATTCAAATTCAGCCTTCCCTTACCCGTGGGTAACACGTACGGCCCCGTGAAAGTTTTTCACGGGTAAGTTAATATCTCGGGAACCACGGAGTCTAGGAAGCTGAAATTTTAGGGTAATGACCCCCTGCCCACGCTCAAACTTGCCGTTTCAAATTCAGCGTTCTCGCGCTCTCGGGTACCGCCTACGGGCTAGTGAAAATTTTGGCTGGTAAACTATTAACTTGGAAAACACGGAAAAATATTCATCCTCCAAGGTTTCGAATTCAGCTTTCATGCGCTAGTGCGCGAAATTTTTAACTGTTTTCGAATGTTTGAGCTATTTTTGCATAGACTAAAGTACAAAGCAGTGAAAATTATTAATAGGCAATCGTTCGATGGGCTGAATTGCACAAAACGCATGATCGCACTGGTGGTGCGCGTTGCTGTTTATTTATTTAACTTCACTCGACGAATTCCTCTTTTTTTTTGGACGTATTTCAATAACTTCAAAAGTATCACGATGAAAATCCTGGCGGATCATGGAATCCGAGTTCTTTTCCTTTTCTTCGATTAGCCATTTTATCATACTCCACGCTTTTGCATCATCGACAAAAATTTGGCGCCTTCGTAAGTTTTCGTTGTGCGCAAAATTGCTTCAGTTAGCATTCTCAGTTTTGCAGGCAAACCTAGCTTCATTTCCTGTTTTCTTACATCTTTCCGATGGGGAGAAACAATGAAAGTAACGCATTCCAGCCGTTCTCTGCGTAGTTCTCAAGCTGACTTAACGATTTTCCTCATGTTCCTCCATAACAACCATTAGCTGTGTGTGGCCTGTGGGTTGCTAGGAACCTTGTTGTTTCATTCGTGCCGGAATTTCATTGGTTTTTTTTTCTTTTTTTTTTTGCATCACGGTGTTATTTGATCAGCTGTAAAGCGATGGAAAAACAACATTCTGCGAAAACTATATCTATCCGTAACGTCCTGCCGAGAATCCGAAGACCCTCCGGACAATTGGTGTGAGTATCCCATATTAGTGAGAGATTACTAAAATGCTCTCGAATGCCAAGTACAGCTTGCTTCTTTGATCCTGGGCTGTACACCTCTTAAAAATTCAAATTCTGGTTATCAGAATTTCATCTTATTGTGTGTTCTCAATTCAAGACGAAAAAATTGTTGATCCATCCAACCAGTAGTAGCTGCTGTTCGTTCTTCCGCTCACATCATCAGCTCGGACGTTCTTTTTTCCTATAGAATTTTCGATGAATCAGCGGAAATTGCGTGTAAAATTTGTCATAGTTTAAAAAAAAGAGCTGGAAATTCGTCATTCTCTCCAACTACTGGTTTTTTCGAAATCCATTACCCGTTCCCAGATTCTACATCTAGTTACCCATGTGTGGACATTACCGCTGCAAATATTTAAATATTCAATCAGCCGCAATTCACAGCGTGGTTCTCCAGATAGGCAGTTTACCAATACTGTTTCATATAGTAGCCAGCCAGGTGCCGATCCTGACGTTCGTCTCGTATTCTCAAGTTTGGCTTATTAAACGGCTCTCCGCAAGCATCCAAAATCTGGATGATTCGTCGGATTCCCCATTTAGTCAATTCATTCAACATCGGATCCAGTAATTACTCGTTAGTACTCAACGGTTTAATTGGTACCACACATGAGGAACTTCTACTCCCGAGTTTGCAAGCGCGTGTGACCCAGAATGCTGCCGTCTTGTTTTAGATGTCTTATTTGGTGGCTTGGAGAATGAATTTGGATAGCAAACTACAAAGTCCGAAAATTTCTTTTGAAAAATTAGGATTTCTAGTAACAAAACCCGTTGACTACAGTCTTTTGCACTACAGTCTTTTCAGAATCATGAAGACTGACCACAGAATTGATCAGTGATTTCGTTTACTCATTTATGTACATTTATCATAACTAATCCCTCAGTGATCTGTCGCAGCAGTGGCATGAAGCGCCACTATTTACCGCGCTAGGTTTTTGATTAAATTCATAGTTCTGTCGACTGTTAATTCATCTTTAGTTCTTCCAGAAATTCATTCTTTCAATCATTAGCCAGTCTCTTATTCTTTTAAGAATTTGCCCTTTGAATCATCTGTCAATCTCTTAGACTCTCAAGAATCAG